GGCTGGTGAGCAGCGCGGCAGCCCAACGCGGTGAACCAAATTGACTGAAGGTCCTTCTGAGCAGGGGACAACTAATGCGTTAGTTATTTGAGAACTGAGGAAACAGAAACAGAGAGAGGAAAGGCATCCTTAGCGTGCTGAAGCTGCTTGTATCTCTGTGCACAAAATGCAAACAACAGCTAAACTCGGTGCTAATTAATTAAAACCTCCACTGAGCTTCCACAAGCCTTGCACAAGTACAGCAGCTCCAAAGCATGAGGATCCCCTGTGCCTGAGGCATCCACATGCCACACTGGGATCTGGATAATTCCAGCACTGAGATCTGGGTGTTTTCAATGCTGGCACAGCAGCCTGATGTCTTCTCCTCTGGGACATAAGGGTCCCCCGTGGCTCTTCTTGGATGTAGTGCAAAGGAGCTGTAACATCCAGCTGCAGACCTCAGTGGAGAAGTCATTCAAGTCACAGGTGGCAGATATGGGAAGAGAAGGGTCCATGGTGGTGATAAACAGGAATGTGGCCGTGTGCTTATAGGGCTGCACTGGGCAGAGTGTGGCCACATGGACAACAGGAGTTGTCACCACTCACTGGTGTGGCTGCATCTGGAATAGTGTGTCCTCATGTGAGGCTTCCCATTCTGGAGGAATGGCAAGGAACTGCAGAGTGTCCAGAGGATGTCTGTCAAGATGACCTTAGAGACCATGTGTGGAGAGGCTATAGAGACCAGGGCTTACTGAATTAGGAGATCAGGGGACTGTAGTATCTTCTAGCCCATGATGGCTTGAAAGTTGCACCTGGGAAAGATCATGAAAAAGCAAAAAAAGGAAAAATCTGCAGTTTGGGAAGTCCTGGCTGAACACGAGGAAGGTAGAAAGAATGGTCACTTCCAAAGGTTGTGCTGTGATGTAACAGGTCACCCAGAGGGAACAGAGACTGTTTAATGGAACATCTGATGGTGGGCACAGAGAGACCTTAGTACAGGTAGGAAGATCCTGTGGGTGTAAATCAAAGTTGGGTGCCTGCAGCCCAAGGAGAATCAGGCATAGGTGTGGAAAAGTGTAGGACAGTATGCAGGGGAGATGGCCAAGGGCACTGGCAAGGCTGAAAATCTCTGAGAGAACTAAGACCTTGCTCTCCTTGGCTATGGCAGCTAAGGTTTCTCTGCCACCAGAGCCTTTGAGGAGACGTTGTC